CCCCCCACGCCTCCCGTCTGCTGTCCCCCCTGCCCGGACAGCTGGAGCTTGCGAGGAAGCCCCGCGTGGTAAGCATGACGGCCATCTGCGCCGACGTGAAGGAGCTGGGCAACAACCTGGTAGAGCAGAGCAAGGACGCCCGGGATGACATCGTCAAGCGGGCTTCGGAGAAGTTGGAGATGGTGAGAAAGGGCAAAACAAACCTAGGGTTGTGTGTATCAAGACTTGGTATGTAGAAATGGTTCGGTAAGGTTGAAGCTGGGCTCTTGAGTCTAAACGCGTTAGCTGTGCGGGGTGTTCGACCTTATGGACTTGAATTCCATCATGTCACAGCTGGCAGACCGTTTCATTTTCATGTTGCATCCCTTGAATGACACCGTGCTCTCTCGCATGAGCCCCAGTGCGGGAGGCACCGTTGGATGTATATGCGTTTGTATGCTGCATGCAAGTCGCAAGCGAGTGTACCGTTCGCGAAAAGGTATGTAGCTAGTGTTTTTTGGCATTGTTTTTGTGAAGACGGCGCGTCTTTGCCCATCGTGTTCGTTCTGGTTTGCCCGACGGATACAGCGAGAAACATTTTTTTTTTGTTGTAGAGGCGCAATACGCAGTCAATTGTTCCGCGTGTTTTGAGAGGAGGGGATGGTGATGAATCATCCCCGACTATTGTCTGAAAAACTCTATGGCAACCTATTCGAGATAAACTCGGCATATTTATACAAAGAACACCCAAAACGCATAGTTGTTCCTGGGTTTCAACTAGTTTCATAATTTTCCTTAAGGAAAACTTGAAAACGCAACACACCGGGGATGACCCAGAAAAACTCCCGGGATCTACACAACGTCCAATCGATCTGAAAATTTTACATTTGTCTATTGGGCCGGCGAGTACGAATCCATCGGCTTATTGTTCATCATCACATTTAGAACAGAGTACGGTCTGCAGCTATCCGGTACGGTCTGCAGCGCCCCCCCCAGGGGACGGTGATGCAAGTGTCCTGCTCCCCCCCTCAAGCCATTCTCGGGCACACCCGCCCTTGTTGTTTTTGCATTCGGTCCGTTTTTTTTTTGTTGTGGCCTCGAAACAGGCGAGAGTAGTCGTGCATCCCCACTACGAGTCTGCGGTCGAGGCCTCCAAACCGGTGGTCAAGAAGGCCATGGAGTTCACGGAGCCACACCGTAAGAAGGCCGGGGAGGTGCTGGCTGTGTACCGGGGAAAGTTCGACGAGAGCGTGGGGGCGCCGGCTGCAGAGGTGAAAAAAAAAAAAAGGGTCAAGACAACGCGGTTGGCGATCACTCCTAAAAGGCAGAGCAGCGTATCTTCTTGCTTCGCCACCAAGATCCCGACACACTGCTGTATTTGTTTGGTTGCTGGGATATATATAGAAAACATCGTTCGGTTGTGACGAGAGATTTTTCAGCTTTCCATTTCTGGTGTGGACTTTTTTTTTTTTTCCGGAAAGTATGCCGGCTGTACGGACCTCGACACGCGCCTTGTCCGCCGTTGCGTCTCGTCGTCTGGTTCCGCAGTTCCTTCGTCCTTTGGCGGCCATTTTTTCATGCTCTTTCAAGCTTGTAGAACTGTATCCTGTCTGCTTTAGGAGGGATGAAGTTGAAACCGACAACACACGGCGAGCGCTGTTCTTATATTCATTTGTTTTTGTAATGTGTAGAGCAACACGATCGCCGCCGTATCGATTCCGACAACGAGGGCTCTCGGGTCGCTACCGACCGACCTTTCCCCTCCCCCCCCCCCCCCCCCCCCCCCCCCCCCCCC